TGTAGGCCTCTTGGCAGCCTCCCAGACCAGTTTTCTTCTCATCCTTTCATCAATTTCGGAGGGACGTCCACTTCTTGGTAATGTCACTGTTGCACCATATTTTCTCCACTTGATAATGACTGTGCTCCATGGTACATCTAATGCCTTGGAAATTCTTTTGTACCCTTCTCCTGACTGATAACTTTTAACAATGAGATCCCTCTGATGCTTTGGAAGCTCTCTGCGGACCATGGCTTTTGCTGTAGGATGGGACTACGAAAATGTCAGAAAAGACCTACTAGAACAGCTGAACTGTATTTGGGATTAATCAGAGGCACTTTAAATGATGGCAGGTGTGTACTGACTGCTATTTAACATGATTTTGAATGTGATTGCTTAATTCTAAACACAGCTACATCCCCATTTATAAAAGAGGGTGTGCACACTTATGCAACTACATTATATTAGTTTTTTATGTTTACTTCCCCCTCCCCCCCTAAAAGATTTCAGTTTGTTGCTCAACTGAGTTGTACAGTTTATAGGTCACATTGAAGGTGGAAAAAGTTCTGAAATAATTTATCTTTGTCTAATTTTTTTACATCACAGAAACCTGACATTTTAACAGGGGTGTGTAGACTTTTTCTATCCACTGTAATCCAGAGCAAGTGTGTAGATCAGGAAAGTTAGGAAAAGGTAATAAGGCAATATCTGCATACTGGTTTGGGGTTAGTGATAAAACTGCTGAAACTGGATTCTGACTATGAAAGCCATGCAATGTGGCCAGCAACAGCAGTCTCCATGCTCCCCTCCTGACAGCTTACTGTAAATAAAAAACTGATTGGAGACCCCCTCTTTGTAGAAAGCTACCCATGAGCAGAATATCTACAGAGCTGGTTTATTTTAGACTTGCTCTGCCAATATTTAACAGCTTATGATTGTTCTCTTCAATATAGATTTTCGTGGAATACAAATGTGGCATTGTACAAGGGCCAGTGTCGCTTAAGGGTATAGATCTAAACAAATCTACCTTGACAACTACATTAAAACAGATTTAGCCAACACCAGTACTGTACAGAACTTATGCAGGCTCTGTCACTCAATATTCAGGAGGGATGGGTGCCCATACAGTGTTAAATTGTTAAATAATTATACTATCAAAATGAGTGTGTGCTGCAAGTTGCCTCCAACATTGTTCTTGTTGCTTTTTGCTGGAGGCAGCTATTTTACTGAAGCCCAAAGCCCCGGAGCAGCAGTAAATCCTTAAGCTGTCAACAGATCAGCCTCTACGCTTTTTGCACATTGCCTAAAAATAGAGAGCAACTGAACATGTGCAGAGCAGGGTGAGGCAGTGTATTACTGGCTTTTAAACAGTATGGACATGCATTTTTAACGTTTTACATCGTTATACCTGTAAAAGGGGCCAGCATGAAGTGATCTAGCAGGACATAATTTTCTGATTAAAGTTCCACTTTAAGGCAGAACTCTAGACAAGCAGCTATCCACAAGTGGAAAGTACACCTACTGTACATATATAGTAACTGAGCTGAAGGTAAACAGCTAAATATACTGTTTAAAGTGTTATTCCACTTTTCAGCCAGACTGGGATAACACCAACTTAATATTTGTTACATGTACCCATTCACATAGCACAACTCTTCTCTGGAAACTTGAGCTAGAAAAATCCTACTTAGTCCTTTTTGTTTATGATGGGGCCAAGGAGCTGTGTTTGCTATAATTAATTCCTGTTTGTACTGTGCTGGCAGATCTCATCAGCTGTAATTTGATTTGAACACTATCTTTTCTAAGAAGGTGTTAAAGTGGTTGTAAAGGCTCAAGGTTTTTTTTATGTTCATGCATTCATGTGGTCCTAAAATGGCCAATCCTTACGCTTCTAGGATTAACAGAAACGTATATCATATTTACTTGTTTTAAACATTTTTCAGATTTCTTCAGTTACTTCTTGGTTTCCAGATCTAGACAAATTATGTCATAAATCCCAGGTATTTTTAGGAGGGGTTTTCTCTGCCAAGCACACCCTCCTGCCTGCATGCCTGAGCTAAGGACAGATGAATTATAGGAAGTAAATGCTACATAATCTGCCCTTACGCAAGATGGTCATGATCAGTAATACTAGGGGGGTGTTTTTCAAAGTGATTTCTTAGCAAAATTAAGCATGGGGACATAAGTGGATGAACGAGCTTGCTTTGAATATTATAAGCAAATTAAATATTTTGGGTTTGTGGTGCTCAGATACAGTGTGTAGTTTGTCTATTTGTAGGCTTATGGCTTTTAAAGCACAGAATTTTTGCTAAATCAGGGTCAGAGATGGTGTCAGTATTTTAACAAACTTTAAAAATAAATGACTGTATACATATTATTCATGTGTTACTGGCAAGAACACCAGGTGAAAAAGTTGAAAAAAAAAAAACCTGAAAAAGAAAAAACTAATACAGCTTCCAAAGGAATGGTAATCTGCAATATATTGCATTTTGTTCTGGCGTTAAAGCGGAGCTCCACACAAAACGGGGAAGCTCCGCTTGTCTGCCTCCTTCCCCCCTCCATTGCTACATTTGCCTTTTGGGAGGTGGTTTTGAAAGTGAGGAACTAAGCTGGAAGCCAGGCCCCTCCTCCTTCACCCAGAAGCCTTCTGGGACACGCCACAGGTCCCATAAGACTACAGGACCAATCTCAAGGCGCAGCGTGACTCACGCACAGTATTTGTAGCTGCTGACTATTAATTTTGGGGGGGAACCTGGACCTCCTCTTTGAGTTATGCTTTTTGTGCATCTCCAAATAAATATGATGAAAAAAAAAAAAAACAGAATATCAAATACAGTGCTTGTGTGCCATCAAAAATTCAACAGGCCATAGAAACAATACTTAAATAAGGAAGACAGCAATGTTGGATATCTAGATGTTTTGTTACTAGTATTGTATTGTCCAACAGTAAGGACTATAGGGGTTAAATCCCCAAACGGCACTCTAGAGTGTAGTGGGGGGTACGGTTATACCAGAAATACAAGTCGGAGCAGATCAAGGGTTCATCATATTCAAACGCTACAAGCCATGGTAATGTGCATCCAAGTTTTTAATTATGGAAGAATAAGTAAAAAAGGGGGGGGGGGGGGGGGGGGGGGGGGGGGGGGGGGGGGAGACATTAGTGGAGGTAGAGGGGACGGATACTTAAGGTAGGTGGGGGAGGAATAAGCAGTAGCGTGTGTACGTGGCTCCGCCCTAAGCTGGTGGTGCCCCTGATGACGTTACCTGTGACGAAACGCTCAGGGTGGAGCCCGTACATGCCTACTGCACATGCGCGACCAGACGGTGGCCATTTTGGAAACTGGAAAATTGGATTTTTTTTTTCCCATCAATGCCTAAGGTTGGTAGCTTTCATGTGAGTGCAACCGTACTTTAAATAAATGTTGATTTAATGGTTATACACTATGTGGATCACGCTTTTACATGTTTCCTACTACGACTTTTGAATCTTATTCTGAGTGGTTCAGCTACCCTAAGTAAGATCCATTGTTTGGAAGATCCTTATCTGCTCTTTTGGTGATCTGGAGGAGGATTCGAGTGACCGGCTTTCTGGGTTGTTAAAGCGTGATTGACCACTCTTAACAGGGGGTCATGCCTTTCTGGTAAGCCTTTTTGAATGGTTGGTGACACAACTGTCCTTGGATTTCCTTTGTTTCATCATAGCCTCTGGGACTTTCTTCATTTTGGATGGACTATTTTTTGACACATTTATTTTTTTTTTACAAACTATATCTGTCACTTTAAGCGCTGCACTTTTATGCAATGATTGGTGGACTGCACGATTATTATTGCATATCACAGCACTAGAAGTGTCAAAGTCACAGACTTAATAAGGACATGTTTGCAGCAATAATATAATTGCAGTGATATTGATATATATTCTTTTGATGCTGGACTATTAATTTATTTCATATTTATTTATTCACAATTTTATTATTACAATTGGTAGTGAAGCGCAACACCATTTCTGATTGTATTCTCTATGACACAATGGTATGAATATGTGTAGAGCAGGGGCGGACTGACCATTTGGAAACTCGGGCACTGCCCGAGGGCCCGGGGTCAGTAGGGGGCCCCATGAGATGCCCCTGGTACCTTTTTCATAGGCTTTTTTGAGTTTGGGCAAGGACACAGGGGCCCCATGATCCCCTATTGCCCGGGGGTCCCATGAGTGGTCAGTCCGCCCCTGGTGTAGAGTGTAAGCAAACCACTTTTTTTTTCCACAGTTTTTACACATAATTTTATTTTCATTTTCACTATTGTATTGGTTTTACAGCAATTTTAGTATCATTTATAATATTTAATTTAATTCTTTATTAGCACTCTGTATACACCATAGTAGCTCACAAGACCCCACACTTTAGGCTAAAACCTGGTTGTTTTAGGGACAATGGTTCCCTTTTCCTTGTAAATGAGCTGTGCCTGTCCAATTAAAAAAAGAAAAAAAAAAAAAAAACGTCCTCTAACACTGGTGAATTCTGGTACATTTTAACAAAACAAATCCTTGTCCTAGATCAGTATGGAAGAATGCATGTACAGTGATAATTAACCAGAAGAGCAACAGGATGAGACATCCCTGTGGAGGACAGGGCCAGGTTACAATCACTCCTGAAAAAGGTGAAGGGTGTAGTGTTACAGGACTCTGATCACAGCAGGACTATTGTATTTACTATAGCCTGTCTCTTAATCAAATGTCAACAGTTTGCTTATTGTCTGGCTTGGAGGCCCTGCCCAAAAAAATCACATTGCTTCCAGGATAAAAACATGTCTAGTATGCCTCCTATATTCAACTGTATTGTAACTGTACTGTTCACCCTCACGCTATAAAGTGCTACGCAAACTGTTGGCAATATATAAATCCTGTATAATAATAATAGTATGCCTGTGCTCATAACAAAAAACAATGTAGGATGTGCCCGGGGTGCATAGTACTCTCATTCTCAGTTTATGTTTCACATCAGCTGCATTAAACACAATCCTACCTGGGAACACTTGTTAGATATGTCAGTACATTCTGAAACTCCGTCTCCGGGATCTCGCTGAATTCGGGGTATTCTGGGAAAGTGATGACAGGACACCCATTATCTCCCCTTCCACCTAGAACAACAACACATTTCATTTTAGAATTAAAAACGCTGCTTTCTTCTACAAAGGATACAGAGACCTTGTCGCCATATCATTAATTTCAACAACAGTCTTCCCATAGGATTATATGTGAATTTAGTCCTATGGGAAGGGTAGCACCCAGATATGGCAGAGTTCCCCTTTAAATACTTCTAGCAGCCTGTGTTTGTAAAAGCAAAGTTTTCACTCTCCCACTCCCTTATTTCCTGTGAGTGATTTGTACCAGCTTGTAGCTGGGATTCCTATCTGCAGCTGCTGTCCAAGGTTATTCTGCAGAGTTTAGAAAGCCTGTTGAAAGTAATAGAACGTGAAAGAAGAAATGTATGCCTTGTGACGTAATCAATATATACGCTTGTAAGAAGTTTTCTATAACTCACTTAGTAGATGAGAGCATGAGCCATCTGTTGAGTCAAAACAGCGCTATTTTTAATAAATCATTTGTTTTCCTTTAGTCCGTGTCCGGAGTTCTCTGGTTTGCCAAAATTGCTACTACAGTATGCGTGTTTACCTGTAAAAAACCTCCCTTTTATAGACATCCAAAAGGCCTGAGACTGCTGCTGGGTGCTGCCATCTTGGATGTAATGTCAGCAGCCCCAGAAACGTCACTCAAGTGATCCTCTATAGAAGGCTTTCTCAACCCTTTGCTACCCAGGGGAACCCTTAAAATAATTTTCAGGTCTCAGGGAACCCATAGGCCTTGTTCACACCATACTTGCAACAAAAATTGATGGAAACAGATGTGCAGATTTCACTTGCAGACACATCTGTTTACACCAGTTTTCACATCCGCTTCAAAAAATCTGCATGTGACACTAGTGTTGTGGTGTGAACAGGACACAGAGAACAATTGATTTTGTTGTGCCCTTGCAGAACACGTAAAGAAAAACTGATGTCTCTGCACTATGGTATGAATAAGCTTATAAAGTATAACTAAAAGGCAAAGCTTTTTTTTAGTTTTGGATAGAGTGGAGATGGATTAGAACCCGTCAGTTTTTCCTGCTGTCTGTGCCCCTGTAAAGGAGAGTCACCCTCTCTATGTATTCTGTTTACTATTATCATTGAAAGTAAAGGAAAATCCCACATTTTGGGTTGTCCCCAGAAAAGTAATAGGGGGGGGAATCTTCCAATGGTTACACTAGTTCTGGTGACTTGGGGGTCCCAAGGAACTCCTTTAAAGTGCAGGTGCTTCCTCTCACTTCCTGTTTTGGGTATGGGACAGGGATTGAAGGGAAATCTCCAAAATAAGAAACAGATGGTGACAAAAAAAAATAATTTTTTCAAAATTTTTTACACGATGCGGAATATTAACTCTTTAGGCTCCCAGGTGAGTATAACAAGCATGTTTTACTGCATAGACAGACTGATTTTACTCTTGTGCAAGCGTCACTAAATGGCGGACCGCGGTCCGAATATGGACCGAGTCACAGTCCTGTTTGGACCACAGCCACACAACTTAGCAGCTTGAGTGGACTCCTCTCATCCCGCCAATGCAGCTGTTAGAAATCGTGAGGAATGGCAGGGTGAACTCTTGTTCTGTATATAGTCGCCTGCCACCGCCATAGTCGCTACTGCTGTTGAAGTCATAGCAGGGAAGAGGGCAGGAGGAATAGAAGGAAGGACTCCACCACCACCTCTGAACTTAGAACTGGGAAGAGGGTGAGAGACATTGCAGGTCTACATGTGGAGTGGGTAGAGGGGAACCAACCTTTCATATTTACAAGCCACTCACTTTTCAACAAGAAGAGTTGGACAGCTCCCATCCACTGAGTTCAGCGGCAGCAAGCTGGTACATTCAGAAGGAGTCCTTCCGTCCATTCCTCCCACCCTCTTCCCTGCTGTGACTTCAACAGCATCAGTGGCAGGCAAGTACATGCAGGAGTCCACAATGCCATTCCTCCTGCCCTCCACAATGCGGAGTTAAGGTAGGGGGAATCTGTGATATGGAGGGGGCTGTGATGTGGGGGGGCTGTGAAATAGGGGTGCGTGAGAGGAGAGCTGTGATATGGGGGACTGTTAAGTGAGAGGGTGGGAGCTGTGAAATGGGGAGCGGGAGCTGCAATATGGGGGGCTATGAAATGAGGGGGGAGCTGCGAAATATAGGGGGATGTGAAGTGAGAGCGGGTGGAGCTGTGAAATGGGGGCTGTGATGGGGGGGTTGTGATGTGAGAGGGGGGAGCTGTAATACTGGGAGGCTGTAATGTGCGGAGAGCTGTGGAGTTGTGATATGGGTGGACTGTGATGTTAGAGGGGGAGCTATGATATGAAGGGTCTGTGATGTCAGGAGGGGGAGAGCTGTGATTGCAAGGGGAACTGTAATGTAAGCGGGGCTATAATGTTGGGGGGGGTTCTGATGTGAAAGGGAGTTTGTGATGTACGGGGGGCTGTGGTGGGAAAGGGTGGGCTGAGGATATTAATTAGGGGCTGTGATGTGAAAGACCTGAGTAATTAGAAGAAAAATGAGATTTGGAACTCTGCAGAAAGAAAATGTTACTAAACCCACAACAGCAGGGGTACTGAATTAAAATTCACAGAGGTCCAGTTGGTAACACTTTAATGTAGGGATCCACCCAGATGCCTGACTGGCAGCTGGCTCAGTCTCTCAGCATGCCACTGGGCCAGCCTCTCAAGTGAGCATTGGAGGGGCAGAGCAAAGTCACCACCCTGGGCTTAGTGTGTACCTAGAACTGGACAATCAGCAATCTCTGTTCTCAGGGCAGAGGGCGGTGGAGGACAGTGATTCAATGCTGCATCCTCCTAGGTGACTTTGAAAGGTTTTTATTTTTTAAATCCCAGCACTTCTCTTTTAATTTACGTTTGTCATTAACTGTCCTCTTTTCCCTAAAAAAAAAAGGAGCAGACACCTCAGTGATGGCAGTTAGCAAAAAACAAATGTCATAAATCAAGGACAAAAAGCTAGAGAACTCCAGAGCAGATCAATGGAAAGATGCTGAAATATTAGAGCCAGATACATTACAAATGCACATAGACTGCAACAATTGATTTTTTTTTACATTTTATATAAATATCAGCAAATACTTTGATGCACATTTATTCTTTCTACAACTGAAAAGACAACAAAACTGCATTGCTGATAAGGGCTCAAGAAATAAAACATGCTATTCTTACTAACAGACACTAGAGGGAGCTAAAAGACTCAAAGTGAAATGCCTAAATAAAGGTTTCAGTTGATGTCTACAGAGTGTATGTATGTATGTATGTATGTATGTATGTATGTATGTATGTATGTATGTATGTATGTATGTATGTATGTATGTATGTACACATCTATACATACACACACTTCTATATAGTAAGTAGGAGCTTTCATTTCTGAATTGTACACAGAGGTACAGGGTGAGGGGCTATTGACCTAATTCTGGCTTCACTATTAGGGGATTTGCGGACCAAGAACAAGCATTACTAGTCAGCAGGGGCGGACTGACCATTTGGAAACTCGGGCACTGCCCGAGGGCCCGGGGTCAGTAGGGGGCCCCATGAGATGCCCCTGGTACCTTTTTCATAGGCTTTTTTGAGTTTGGGCAAGGACACAGGGGCCCCATGATCCCCTATTGCCCAGGGGCCCCATGAGTTGTCAGTCCGTCCCTGCTAGTCAGGTCCTAAAAGCATGATATCCTAGTCTGTTTGTTTCTTCTAAGTTAGAGACTCACTAGATGGTGATGACAGCACTGAAGACTGCACCTTAAAAATCAGTGACAGCACCCATATTTCTCTCCCCAAAGATTCCACGTTACTTTTTTTTGTAAAAGTAATTAAGACATTAAAATAATTACACCACAGGGAAGTCATAATAAGTAATTCTATTTCTATCCAGCACCTACATTAGAGAAGCTGTCTGCCCACTATTTTGCAGACCCGACTGGGCAGCAGTAGGGTCATCGGTTCGAATCCCAACCACGGCACCACCTGCCTTGAGTATGCATGTTCTCCCTGTGGCTGCATGGGTTTCCTCCCACACTCCAAAGACTTGCTGGTAAGTTAACTGGCTCACATCTAAAATCTTGATCTTGTCAGTGGTAGGTGAAATGGATCCTGTCTAAATTGGCCCTAGTGTGTGTATGTATGAATGGGAGTTAGGGACCTTAGATTGCAAGCTCCTTGAGGGTTATCCACATCGTCTTGAAAGGTCAGCCAATATGACAGCTATCCGACTACAATATGTTCTATAACACTGACTAATGTAGAAGCAATCAGAATGCAACAGAACAATCTACAATTAGGGCTATTAATCATGGTACTATATCACATTGGATGATTTTGTACAGTTAAGTAGCTCTAGAGCTGATTTATAAAATGCATGTTGTAGAAATCAAATTCCTCCACTCCAGAAATGACAGTTCATCTGTACTCTATGCAAAGAGTGCTGCTAGAAGCTATCAACTCTTATTTCTAGTTAGTCTGGCTGAAAAAAAAAAAAAAAAAAAAAAAAAAAAAAAAAAAAAAAAAACTCCATCCAGTTCAAACATAGAAAAAAAAAAAAAAAAAAGTTATAATTCTATACCCACAGTTGATCCAGAGGAAGGCAAAAAAAAAAAAAAAACCAGCAAAGCATACTCCAATTTGCTTCTGCTGGGAAAAAAATTTCCTTCCTGATCCCCCGAGATGCAATCAGATATTCCCTGGATCAACTTTACCTATAAATGTTAGTATCCAGTTATATTCTGTGTATGTAAGAAAGAATCCAGGCCTTTTTTGAAGCAATCCACTGAGCTGGCCAGAACAAACTCTTGAGGGAGTCTATTTCACATTTTCACAGCTCTTACTGTGAAGAAACCTTTCCGTGTTTGGAGATTAAATTTCTTTTCCTCCAGAAGTAAAGAATAAAATCACACACAAAATTTATTAAAACTATACATAGTACGGTGGACCCTGTGAACCAACACAAAAAGAACCACTTTTTTTCCTAATTTGACTGTGCTTAGTTTATTTGGTAATAATTATATTCTATTTATAAAGGTACCGGTATAATACACTGCTCTGCCCAGTGATTGGGCAGACATTCCAATACAAGGACCACATACAGCCCTGGTGCCCAACCTGAAGCCCTTTGGTATATGATGTGCGGCCCTTGGACCTCATCTGTCTGTAGCGGGAACATGAATTAGGGTAATAGCAATGATCTCTATTAGCCTCCTCTAATGTGTTCCCAGTTTTGTTTGGTCTTCTGCAGCATATCCCCAGCCACATTTGTAGCATGCCCACACTCTCTGACCTTCATTTCGCCTATTAGGTCTGCAGTTTCTGACAGTCATCTCAAACATAGGCCTTGGGTGATGTCAGGGGCCACATTTGTGACCCCCTTTAGCTCATAAGTTGACAATCACTGACATACAGTATAGGGGAAATACAGAGAAAGAAATAACTAACTTGTTTTTCCTTTTTAACTCTTTTTAGGAATCACTTTCAAAATGTCTTCACATTTCAGACTATGCATTAATAGCGTATTCAATAGACTGACAAAAACACATGGCTCAGTGATCTTTCGCTGGAAAGAATACGACTACAAAAAGGTTAAGGTGTGTACACTTCGTTACACAATGACAAATATCCTGCATGCTAAACGTCACCTTTAGTGTTAAGTGCACAGCCACGTATTCATAAACCAATAGATTTTACCACACCTTAACAATATCCTAGATGTTGGTATAGCTGATCTAGAAATTGTCACCAGTGTCTAAAATGCTAAACAAAATGAAAATCTACATTTCTCTAGAAAGTATTATGATGCCTAAAGGGAATCAGTCACTAGCGATGGAGCACTTTGACAGGGAGCAGGTCACTATTAGACAAAGGAACATGCTTGTGTCAAATTTGGCAGTGCACTGACTAATGTTACTGTGAATTTGCCAAACTCTCTCTGGGAACGGTCATTTCTTGGCACAAAGCACCACCAAAGTTTGACTATGCAGCTTTTTTCTACAGACTCACTGAATGCCTTTCTAATCATCCATACAGGTTAGCATGAGCTAGCAGAAAGGCAGTGGTGTGTGCCCATCCTCTAACTTCAATTATTCCACCCGTGGATTGGCCCTGGCCACCGGGGAGATTGTATCCCATTCAATTCACTATGGAGCTTTTTGTTGGGGATCTGGCTGGGGGACCTGAAGAGTAGAGAGAGTCCACAGTTGAATGCCTGAACATTGAGAGGAGAACCTTATTGTGACAATGTGAACTGTATGTGACATTATAGGGATGTTTTAGAAAGTCACTTTTTTCCCCAGATAAAGCAGATACTGCTCCACAAAACACCTGCAATGCCAGTACCATTACAATAATCACGAATTATAGCACATGGTAATGTTGTAACAATAAATAATGATGTTGTAGCAAGAATGAACTATAATGTAAAAGAGTAGTATGAGCATGCTCACAATATGTTTTTAAAAAGTTGATATACTGTATATTTTAACCACTTGACCTCGAAGATTTAACCCCCTTCATGACCAGGTCATTTTCTACTTTTTGGCACTGCGTTGTTTTAACTGACAATTGTGCGGTCATGCAACGATGTACGCAAATAAGATTTATACAATTTTTTTCACATAAATGGAGCTTTTTTTTGGTGGTATTTGATCCCAACTGGTTTTTTTATTGTTTGCGCCATAAATTAACAAAAAAAAAAATTAAAAAAAAAATTAAAAAAACAAAAAAAAAAAAAAAAACAAAAAAAAAAAAAAAATATTTTGTACTTTCTGCTGAAAAAAAAATTCCCAGTAAAAAAAAAAATTTTAAAAATCTACTTTCTTCATAAAATTTAGGCCAATATGTATTCTGCTACATATTTTAGGCAAATATATCCCAATAAGTGTAATATTGATTGGTTTGCGCAAAAGTTATAGCGTCTACAAACTATGCTATATATACTTTTTTATTTTTAATACTAGTAATGGCAACGATCAGTGATTTTATAGCGAGGCTGTGATACTAAGCTGACACTTTTTGGGAACCAGTGACACTAATACAGTGATTATAAACTGTCACTGTACCAAGGACACTGGCTGGGAAGGGGTTAAACATCTAGGGCGATCAAAGGGTTAAATGTGTGCCTAACCAGTGTTTGTGTATGTACTGAGGTGCTTTCACTAAGGTGCTGTTTTGCAGGGAAACAAAAACCAGCACATCCCCACTGACAGGAAAGAGCTCTGTATTGTATACATTGACACAGCTCTGCCCTGTCTTCCTCCTCAATGATCAGTGGTGCTAGCAGTCAATAGGCCAGAACCCACTGATCAGCTTGTAATGTGAAACCACAGCACAGCCAGCATGCTAGCCACACGCACGCACGCCCACTACCCAGAAGTGCTGGATCATGTACTAGATATGTGATCTGTCACAGTGGAGCCTCTCTGCCTCCATACTCCTACAAGAGCCAGTCGGCAAGCGGTTAAACAAATACATTTTTGAATTTTTTTTTACATGGTCGGCTGAATAGTCTGCCTCACTTTTTGGTTCTCAAATACTGATTGCGTCTCTGAAAACACAGTTGTGGTTGTGTCAGTACAGTACAGATTGTACCTCCACAGACATATTTCTGGTTGTCAGTACAGTATTGATTATGTCTCTACAGACATGTTTCTGGTTGTGTCAGTACAATACCCATCATGTCTCTACCGAAATAACCAGAAACAAGTCTGTAAAGTACGGATTGTGTTTCTATGGAGATTTCTAATTGTATCAGTATAGATCTTATATTGTTTGAGGATATGTTACTGATTGTGATTAAATGTGTTATTTTTTTAACTCCACTTCTGTTTAAATGATCATGATCTTGCCATTGTTATATTATTGAATGGTAAATTAGTTTAGGCACCGTTTACAGTTTGTTTGAGAGAAAGGAAGATGTAAGGTAGCTGGTCTATAAAGAAAGCCGTATAAATCTGGCCTTGCTTCCTGCAGGTTTATAATTATTATTTAGCCCTAGCAAGTGGTCCATAATACAGGCATAATTCTGTTTAGTTAGGGCCATTACTCAAACATGAACGCCAGAGTGTTTTGGTCTAGAAGAAAAAAAAAAAAAAAAAAAAAAAAAAAAAAGGAAGGATTGATGTAGATCCTCTGCCCCTGCCCACAGCTCCTTCTCCATCACACTCTAGCAGTCAAGAGACCAGATGTCAAGGCCAAAGCAGGGTCCATAGCCCTACATTGGACATGATGATGCCAAGGGACAGTCCACCATTGATACTGGAAGGAGGGGTATTGGTTTGAGCTCTATCTGGTGAGGGAGTGGAGGATCAGGTAAGTAAAAGGATTTCTATTCTCATCTAGGCAAAATGAGATATTAACCCTTGCAGTTTAAGCTCAGACCGACTGCAAAGGATAATTTGCAGTGGGTCTACTTTCTACTTTACTACATTCTACTTTACTAAGCCAAGAGAGCCAAGTATACAAAGTACAGTAATCTCAGCAACCAATCAAAAAATCACTTATTTTTCTGGTTGCATTAAACATATGCAGATTGAAGTCTGCTTGGCTGCTATGGGCAACTACACTTAAGTGCTTTTCTGGCGGTCCTGTTTAAAAATTGATGTCTTTCAGCTGAGTCTATAAAATATTTAGTAAAGGCAACTTATACTTGAGGGTGTTTTTATTAAGAAACGTTAATGTCACTAACTTAACTTTTTCTAAATATTTGGTAATTAAAAGTATATTTCCATTTTCCTGTATTTAGACAACGTACCTGACAAGTAGGCAAACTGCTTCTTCAGCTGATCCTCAATATCTGCAGCACACATTGGGAAGGTGTCCTGATGCATGATGTCATCTGAAAAACAGAAAACAGTTATTTATTTCACAGTGACAAAAATATTTGTTTGGTTTAGAGGCTGATTAGGTAAATCAATATTGGTGAACAGCATCAATCTCTGTAAAATATCCCCATACATTGACGTGACTTTGGGATTTTTATCATTGCATTGCTGTGTAGCTAATAGCATCCTTTAATGTTAGCAGCTCTCTTACGCAGGCCAAAGGAAAAGATTCACTGTAACGGCAGCCCCACCAGCTGCTTAGATTTACCTTCCTTAGATTTGTTTTGTTACACCAAACAGCCTCCAGTACACCCTCCCTGATACCATGTGACAGCACAGACCCAAGTAGAAAGTACAAGTGCCATCAAGTGGAAATATAGAAAGGGAGTCCCATGACCCCCTGACTCAATCCAGGGATTTTTTTTTTTTTTTTGCATTCCTGGCGGCCAAATGGAGCAGCAGGTGAGTGAAGGGAAACACAAGATGAAGGACACCATTAAAAAGATAACTTGTTAGCTTTTCCCCAATTGGAAGAGGCTAAATGCAGTGCTTTTTCAATGGCAATCATGGTGAACCTTTTTTACGGAGATAAGCTCTGGTGTGGTTTACATAACGAACAACCAGGGCAGTAAAAAAAAAAAAAAAAAAAAAAAAAAAAAAAAAAAAGGGAGGGGATTCCAGTGGGGAGAGTTCTGGCAGTCCAGATATACAAGAAACTAATGTCTAATTTAACCCTTCCACTCAACACTGTAGCATCAGTAACAGCAGTGTCATTATAATAAACACATCAACTTTATGCAGTGTATACACTGTGTGTTAGGACAAATGTGTAATTAGTTAGTAGTTTGTCACTGCATCTAATAGAATGTATCTGTAATGAAGCTGCATCCATTACCAGTCTTCTAATGGCAATGGATCTTACAGAAGGCTTTCTAATGGCCTTCTATATAACAGAGCAGTACATCCAAGAGCAGTCCTTCTATTGGCAATGCGACTAACATCACAGCATATCCAACAGCAGTCTTTTCAATGCAACGAGTTTAACATAGTAGTGCACCGTTGAGAAGATCCCCCAATGTAGCAGTACATCTAACAGCAGTCACTTTAATGGGGGCAGTGGATCATTACAGTATGTACACCGATATGCTGCCAACTGCCATGAAGAGAGAGATTGTTCCATCAAAATTTTGCCAATGGGTCCCTGTGATTTGTAGGTTTACCTTTGTGTAAAAGTTTTAGGTTGTAATACATAGTAAATAAATAGGCTATTTCTTCTTTATGTTTTATGAACACCCACATATTTTGTTAACTCATGTATAGCAGTTACCTCCTAACTATGAGGGTAGTCTGAAAAGTGCATGGCCTGACATGGAAGGGGTGACCACACAGACATGAAACTTTATCACTGCACCAAGCCACTCTTCCAAATGTTCAGCATGGAAAATGGTACATTCATGCTATAAGGTTTTCATGCACTCTTTGCAAACAGTTGGAAATCCCCCCCATAGTCAAGTTGAACATGGAGAAAGTGGAAGAAGGCGGCTCAAAGTATTTCAGCAGCAGACAAAAGTGATGGCAACAATATTCTGCACTGCTGCTGCATGCCTTTGAAATCCCAGAAGACTACCGCCATCACTTTCACTACTGCAATGAGCGAATTAAAATCGTACAAAGCTCCATCGTACAATGCACCACTTTCAGCGCTGAACATCTAGAAGAGTGGCTTGGTGCAGGGATGAAGTTTCAGGTCACTCCTCCCATTTCAGGCCATGAACTTTTCAGACTACCCTCGTAACTTGTGATCTAAATGACATGTAGTACAAAGTGTACTTGTGTACCATATCTGCCTTATTATTCCCCTGTCCCGTCTAGGAGGGAGAACTGTAAAACATAGTAAGCCGTTGTGTGGCCAAGTCTCAGATGCATGTACACAGTGAGGTATTATAGACCCCATGTGGGCCATAAAAAGACCTCACGCTTCTATACTGTATAGTGGATGTGCCCTGTGTGTGTTCCATGTTGATACCCTGTAAATTTCATACAAAAATACATACTACTCAAGAAAAATCTAATTTGCAGGTTAAAATATGAAGAATTGCTTGCTTTAGGCAAAACAAACTTTTGTTTCAGACTTGCTATGGGAGTCCAACTGTCTCTTCTTCTATGTCTAGAATGGATGTTAAAGAGGGAATAAGGCCTGCTTCACACCTATGTGTTTTTCAGTGCGTTTTCAGTTTTGCCTAAATGCACTACAGTTCATTTAACAGATTCCTATATGTCACGTTCACATCATTGCCTTTTCTATTGGAGAGTTTTTTTGGAAAGGTTCAGAGACTCTTTCCCGTAGTAGATTGTGTGTTTTTGTTTCATAGACTTCAATGGAAATGCAGTGGAAACGCATCAAAAATACAGTGCTTGCATTTTTTATGTGTTTCTGCTGTGTGTTTGCGGGTTTCTCCCACATGACAATAGATACCTCCTAAAAATGTAAAACTAATCAAAAACACATAAAAAAATGTCAAAAAACACGTGTGAGAAAAACACATCAACTGCAACCCGCATAGGCGAGAACCAGTCTCTAATATTTGAGCCAAACAAAGATTCAAATACAAAATGCACTGCAGTTTTTGTGTTGCTACAAAGCCACTTCTGTTTTAATTGCTGCATAAGAAGGTAATGTCAGCACACACCACAAAAATCCCAGAGAACTGTGCTGGCTTGGTGCTTACATTATAGGTTATGTAACATGACCCGGAGCCACCACAGCTGCCTATCTTTAGAAATAAGCTGCAGGAAATAAAGCGTCCGATGAAAAATGTGAGAAGACAAACATTAGCGTCATCATTAGTGCTGAAAATAAATATTAACTGCCTTTCAATATGTGAACAACATCTTCCTCATCCGCTTCAGTAAGTGGGTACATCATTTTGCTTGTTTGTTATAATTTTACAGTTAACGGTTTTATTCTGGTCTTATTCAGCAAGGTGATGTGTAAAATGCAGTAAACCCAAATATATTCACTGGTACCTGGACATATCCATTAAACTTTGCTCTGACTTAAAGCTGATTTGAACTTTCAGTTTAAATAATTCAGAGGTATTAAAAGTACACCAAAAACAAAAAAAAGGCATCCAAAGTCTTATGGCTAATTTTTCTTTAGAAAACAGCCACAGCATGTATTTCTGGTGACCATGCACCTCGCTCGGATGATTGATTGATGTTCGGAGAGCGGACCGCGGCTCCTTCTTCACCCCGATGCTGCAGAGAGCCTTCACCCGCAGAACCTGCTTCCTAAAGGGACCTTCCAACGTGTTACGCATCTGAGTGCCATTCCTGAGACGTGACCAGAAAGCGCAGAGGATCCTTACCCTTGAACGTTTACGGATGACCCCGTGTACACCTGGTGAGACAGGCATATCTCAAAGGCGTAATATTTATGCACTTCTGGTGAGTGCGCAATTCATTAATTCACTCTACTTGTTTCTACCACTATGAATCAAGTCACCCACGGATTTATATGATCACATTTGACCCTCACGTGGGTTTTTACGTATTTTGTGACTATTATATATCCAACTAGTCACATTTAGTGACAGGAATTTATAGTATATTTAATTCATATACACTACATTTGTTTCACCCAGTTTGTCTCTTTGTTTTTAGCGCTGCACTTCTTGTCTTATATGTTATATTTAAGGTGTCGTTTGGTTACCTTTTGTGTCCTAGCCGCTACATTCAATTTCTGATAGCGCTCATATTTCCGCTTTTGACATGAGTAGAAAAGCCTGCCCTTTGTCAGCGTGATGCGGAGAAGGCCCTTGCTCTCTGTGTGAAAGCAGTCATCTCTGCAGAGGTCCAACATGAGCTCAGTTGAGAGCGTAAGTTTTGTGGACTTCAGAGCTATAGGCCTAAATGAGCAGGAAGGGGAGTTAGACCTTTGTGGAGAGAGCAGGAGTCCTTCTATATGGCATGCTGCAGGAACCATGCTTTTATATACCGGCTGTGGTTGCTTTCTAGTAAAAAACAAACTGCAAGACTTTAAATATATTCCAGGTACATCAAAACAAAAATTGTTTAGTTAATTTAACTAGTTCTGCATTCTGGACGTATCTGACTGAACAACAGCAATGAGCTTGTTTCAACCTGCTCACATTTTGGACCAAAGGTTTGAGAATGACACGAATATTAAAATTAACCTGCAAGGGAACACATGCAGTCATCATTGCTTTATACCAGTGGTCTCCAAACTGTGGCCCGAGGGTCGGCTGTGGCCCTTTGCTTGCCTTTATGCGGCCCTTGGGCACTATTCCTCTCATTGATACAAGGTATTATTTTCTCCTACTGACATCATTGATGAGGCATCATACTTTCCACAAACACCAACAGTGGGGCATAATTCCTCTCACTGACATCAACAGTGGGGCCATATTGCTTCCACTGGCACCAGTGATGGGCCATACTTCCTTCCACATCTGAACATTATTCCTCACACTGACATCAAAGATGGAGCACTATTACACCCACTAATACCAACAATGTTGCATTATTCCTCCTACTGACACCAAGGATAGGACACTATTCCTGCCACTGACACAAAAGATGGGGTTCTATTCTTTCCACTGATACCAACAATGGGCCACTATTCCTCCTCCTGACCACATGCACCATGTAATTTTTTTGCTCCCACTGACCAACAAGCCCGAGGCATTTTCTACACTCACTGGCCATAGTGGGCTACTGGCCCTCCTAAAGTCTGAAGGAGAGTACACTGGTCTTTTGTTTAAAAAGTTTGGAGACCCCTGCTTTATACAAAAAGGGATTCACAGGCAAAGATATTTCTGCTACTAAGATTGCAACCAAATGACCCTTTTATCGGAAGAAGAGAGGTTCAATTGTTGTGAAGAAGGCTTCCGGGTGTCCAAGAAAGTCCAGCAAGCGCAAGGACCATCTCCTAAAGTTGATTCAGCTGTGGGATCGGGGTACCAACAGTGCAGAGCTTTCTCAGG